TTAGTAGAGACGGGGTTTCACCGTGTTGACCAGGATGGTCTCGATCTCTTGACCTCGTGATCCACCCGCCTCGGCCTCCCAAAGTGCTGGGATTACAGGCTTGAGCCACCGCGCCCGGCAGAGTTTCTTTTCTTTATACAGACTCAGGTATTCTGTTAAAGCAACACTAAATGGACTATGACAGGGTGAGAGGAAGTAGACGAGCATTACCAACCTGGTACCACATTAACTAAAACCTTATTGGGTGACCTTGAATAGTAATTCTCAAAGAACTTCACAGAGAAAACTTATTTCTTCTCTTTTTTAATGAAAACAGATTTCATAACAGACTCCCTTTTTGGGCCAATGGATTTTTTTCCTAGTCTACCTTTACCTTAAGGGTCTAGATCCATCAAGACTTTTAGTGTAATGAGGGCATTTCAGCTTTGTACAAGCCCATATTATTATCTTCCATTCCCTTGTGGGATATTAATCCCGGAATCTCTAGGATTCTGAAGCCACACTGTCTGGATTCTAATTCCAGTTCTCCCACACACTATTGTGTAACCATGAGCAAGTTACTTAACTTCTCTGTGCTTCAGTTTCCTCTTCTATAGTATGAATATTGGTCCTAGTTCTTCCCCCATAGGAATGTTATGAGTAATAAGTGAACTGCTATTGTTAAAATTCATGGACCAGTACCTAGCCCATTGGGAGTGCTCTAAAAGTGCTTGCACGCACTTACTTACTTGGTATTAGCAAGTGCCTCCATGTTACTTTAAGGCTTACTCATTCAGTTTTAGCTCACTGAACTTTTTCAAAAAATGGATTTCAAGGATTTCTTTTATTTTCTTTCAAGCTGTTTGTTATAATTTATACAGAATCTAGTTGAATTACAGAAGGAAGCTTTTTGACTACTCAGTTTATGTATTGCGGAGTCTGAGGGGAAGGAAGTGTCCAAGGCAGGTTTAAAGATTTGCCAGGGTACCTGGAGTCCCTTGAACATGTTAAGCTTTGCAGGAAGAAGAAAGGGTAAACACAAAACAATCAAGGGCTGTTTTGTTCCAGGCTCTCTTTAGAGGCATGACCATAAGCCCCACTTTCTGCTGTGTTGAAAGCCTTACATGACTGCTCTGACAATGCTAAATGGAAATGGCTACTATCTTCTTTTCCCTATACTTTAGGCTGTGTGCAATTATCCATTACAGCATATGTATCATCTTATCTCTCAGTCAACCTTACATCCTCAGCACATAGCAGTTCTCCATAAATATCTGTTAAAGCCATGAATTAAGCTCATGCCTGTAATCCCAGCAGTTTGGGAGGCCAAGGCGGGTGGACACCTCAAGCCCAGGAGTTTGAGACTAGCCAGTACAGCAAGTCTGTGTCTCAAATTAAAAAAAAAAAAAAAATGCTTGAATGAATGAATCCAAGACAAAGGCATTGGAGGAAAAAACATATATGAAGAGTGGACTCATTCTGTCATTTAAAAGTAAATATGGATCTTTTGTAAACTTACAGAACCGGAAGCAGCGTGTAATTCTCTTCCCTTTTGCGGCCATCGCCCAAGCGGGAGCTGCCAAAATGAGGTTCAATCCCTTTGTGACTTCCGACCGAAGCAAGAATCGCAAAAGGCATTTCAATGCACCTTCCCACATTCGCAGGAAGATTATGTCCTCCCCACTTTCCAAAGAGCTGAGACAGAAGTACAACGTGCGATCCATGCCCATCCGAAAGGATGATGAAGTTCAGGTTGTACGAGGACACTATAAAGGTCAGCAGATTGACAAAGTAGTCCAGGTGTACAGGAAGAAATACGTAATCTACACTGAACGGGTGCAGCGGGAAAAGGCTAATGGCACAACTGTCCATGTAGGCATTCACCCCAGCAAGGTTGTTATCACTAGGCTAAAACTGGACAAAGACCGCAAAAAGATCCTTGAACGGAAAGCCAAATCTCGCCAAGTAGGAAAGGAAAAGGGCAAATACAAGGAAGAAACAATTGAGAAGATGCAGGAATAAAGTAACCTTATATACAAGCTTTGATTAAAACTTGAAATGAGGGAAAAAAAAAAAAAGTAAATATGAAACTTCCCCACAACTTTTCAACATGCCAAATTTTCATGAACAAGCCAATTGTTAAATGTTATTTAAAGGTATGGAAGTAACTAACTGAACAAAAAGCAAAGCATAAAAACTAGCTGCATCTGAATAGTGCAAGGAAAGGTAAGAAAAGATGAATCAGCGATTTGTCCTTTTTCTGTAAAAGCCCTCTGAATGGTTTTATTTTTAACTATAAACTATTTAATTATTAACTATGTATAGCTTTACAAAACTTAAAATATTTAAAATGAAAAATTAGTCCATTTTTGGCCTGCTGTAAGTCTAAACATCCTACTGTGCTTTTGACCTCATACAGTGGAGGACAGCTCTTTCTCGTTTTGTTTGTTTGTTTTTTAAGTTTTGTGCTAAGAGTCCTGGCTACCAAAGAGTGTTGAACCCAAAGCTTGGTTAACAAATAAACAGAACGTTGAACCTTAATAAGGCAGTTCTAACGGAGCTAGCCTGGGCTGGACAGGCCTACTGACTGGTGCCTGAAGGTGGCTATAAAAGGACTAAGGAAATCAGTTAACTCCACAGTTTTCACAAAGTTGCTTGACATCAAAACTTTTATCCTTACATGCTTCACTGATCCTGTGGCGATGAAAATTGACATCCATAGTCATATTCTACCAAAAGAATGGCCAGATCTAGAAAAGGTAATGGTAACTAATTTGCTGAATTATTTCTGAAGCTTCTGCAGGGTTTCCCAATGCCTTTCTCTTCTTTGTGGAATTAGATGTCAAGTTTATCTGCTTTGGTCAGGGTCGGGGAGGTTAAATTATTTGGTAGTTCTGATTTCCTAGTTATTAAAAATGACTTTTATATTTATTTTGGAAGAACATTGGATTAAAGAAATAAGCACTTTCTCAGAGTCCCTTTTTTCCCTCAAATGAAGCATTCTTTAAAATTTCTGGTCAATTTAAGTTAGGCAGATTTACCTTTTTAAAAATCACATATTCAGCTGCTGGGAAGATACATGCCAACTACAGAATTTAAAGTTACAGTTTTAAGTAAAAGACTATTAAAAATGAAATGTGATCGGTTTTGAGGACTTCTAAAATGTATCTCCTTTCCAAAATGTTTAAAATAAGTTTTAGAAGCACCAAGAGATAGCTTTGTGAATTTTTTTTTAGTCTATTTTAGGATACTGCCTGAAACCTTCACTGTTTGATGTTCTCTATTCTATAAATCTTTGTCATGAAGAACTAGGAAGTACGTACATCAAAAAACCCTAGAATACATGGCATGAAGCTTTTGCACAGTGACATCTCCTAAAGAATATTCTTTGTGTTTCTCTAAAGATGAAAATTTCCTTTTGTCATTAAGAACTTTTGAATGAATACAAAAAGAGGAAGGTAAGGAACATAAAGAAAACGTAAAATTGGCTAGAGATTTGTTCAGGCTTATTATCAGGTTTTATCCAATCTTCAGCATTCGGCCAGTACTTTCACAGCACCAATAACGTTTCATCTTTTTTATCCCAAGTGAGGGAAAATGAATTAACCCGAACTTGAATTAAATGTGGTTCATTGTGCAAGTAGAGGAAACTATTTTCTTTTCATAGTTGTCTCATAGAAGGATGTTAATCTTAAGTACTGCTTTGTCAATTGGTATCTTAGGTAAGATGGGTGGTAGAAACTATGGATTGAAAAATACAAATGATACTGAGCCATCTTTGAAACATTTTAAAACAGGAAATAGTGTAGGTAGCAGATGCTGTTGGTGTCCCACTCATACCCCTTGGCTTTGACACTTCTGTGCATGCTAGCCCACCTCCATCAGCCAGCGTCTGCATTTCATTGGTTGAGGCTTTCCCCTGAAACCTGCTTTGATCAAGCTATCCTAGCATGTCAGAAGTACTAGAAAATTAGCCCCCTGCATTCCCTCGGCCCAACAGCCCTTAACAGATAATTGACGGAGTTGTGTATAAATACACTGAACACACCATACCCCACCCCTCGGTCACTAACAGCACTAATTCCTATGTTACAGCTTTTTTCTCTATTTGAGTATCAAAGAACATCCACATGAAATGCTTTGGAAACCACTATGGTGGTCTCTAGAGGACACTGTCCACCTGTACTCTCCCACTGAGAGAGCCAGCTAGCATGGTGAGCCCTCCAAGCAGGGCTCCAAGCTCTAGGGCATCCACCTCTTTGTCCAGACAAGGATTTTGAGGCTTAGAAAGAGCTACAGTCTGAATGTGTATGTCTCCCCCAAAATTCAGTCAAGATCCCCACCCACAAGGCAATGGTATTAGGAGAGACAGCCTTCCGGAGGTGATGTCATGAGAGCAGAGCCCTTATAAAGTAAGTCCAAGATATAAAACTGAATTCCCTGGAATGTTTTCAATTTGCTTTTTATTTGGCATGCTCATACATGCCTATGAGATGCTGGTTATTGTCAAATACTTTCAGACTGTAAATACTTCCTGGCATATGCTTGGACCAAAACCACTCCCAGGGTCATAAATTTGAGACCCCAAGCTCAGCTCAACCTAGGATGAGAATGACAGGCTATGTCAAGCACAGACCTGGAGAAGTATAAAGTTGCCCTAAATAAGTTAGGTCTTTGCAAGGGGCCTGTGATGTAAATTGGCACTTTATGCTTTCCAGGAAAAGGAGGGAGGGACAGACACAGAGTGACAAAAGGCTCTTTTCTTCACAGCTCTCCTTAGTTCTGACCCCAGGGTATTCCATTTGGGGTTGGAATAAGGCTGTCATCACTACTGCCACCCCCATCACAATCCCCACTGCTACTATCACCACAGCTACTGCTGCCACCACCATCACCATCACCCATCACAGGTACCACCACTGCCACCATACTCACCACTACAGCCACACCACTACCCCCACCTCGCTCCCTCCACTGTGGCCATTCGTGCCCCTACCATCGCCACTATCACCATCAGCATCATTGTTAGCATGAATGAAGCCCTGTCCACTGGCAGGTCTGGTGTCAGCAACATCATATGTACTGTCTCAGCTAATTCCCAAAAAACCTACGTCCCAGCCACTCCTGTTAGCATCATTTTATTAATACACATTAGGAAACAGTGACTTGGAGACATTTCACACCAACAAAGCCAAGACCCTTGTAAGTGACTTGTTGCACGTGGGAGGATCCCTCTGCTCAGCCTTTCCTGCCTCCCTGCCCTTCCTCAAATGGAATACTTCTCTCACCTGCTAATATACGGAGTAGAGTTCCTTACACAATTACAAAAAAGTAAGAAAGAAAAAGAGTGAGGAACAAGAGGGAGAAAGCAGGCAGTAAAGAAAGAAGGAAATAAAACCTTTTCTTCTACATTAAGGATAAAAATTCAACGGCAAATTTCCAGTTGAGAGCACATAGTTTTAAGTTTACTCTCAAGTATAACTGATTAAAGTCATATTCCACCCTTCCCACAACACACCTGACTTGGCAGTATTTTCCAGGGGGGAAGAAGGAAGGAATACAAGTGTATTGAATGCATGAAGGGTGGGAGCAGGGGTTGTGGGCACAGGCAAAGGGGAGCCTGGTGCAGGGAGGAGAAGCTGAGCTCTATCCAATAGTTTCCCTTGCCTGCCCAGCCTGCAAAACTGGGTCTCCTGATGTTGCTGGGGAGGAAACAGAAGACAGATTTCTAAAGGTAGTATGATTATTTGGGGATAGGACTCAGGAACAGACCTTGTACCTAGGTAGAATAAGACTGGTATAGAATTAATTCAAACCTTACGAAGCTGTTGAGACTCCAGGCACAGACACAGAGACACAAACACCTCTATACTGCACCGTGGCCCAGGCCCAGACCTTCCCCTCAGTGTAGAGGTGACAGGAGCTAGGGAAAGGGGTCCACCAAGACCTGACTCCCTACAGACAACTTCCCTACACCATGGCATGAAAACCAACTGCTGCACCCTGGCCTCATCCAGCCACAACAAGCAAGAGGTTGAGCTGATGTTCAGCTTGCTTTACTCATTGACCCATCACCACTGACCAAATCAGAGCCATTAAGGGTCTCTCTCATGTAGCTATCTCCTGCCTCCATTCCTTCCCTCTGACATCAAACTGTGAGAGCCATGCAGGGAGCATGGAAATCCTGAACACTAGACAATCCTCTCCAATCTCACCCCAGGATAAGCTTTGCAACCTCCCTCCCAATACCGCAGCCCAAGGTGTAGGTCAGCTCCCTCCCTGAGGCCCCCAGAGCAGCTGTGCATCATGGTCACAGTGCCTCTCACACGCGATGATGTAGCCCTTGGACTCCTTGCCTACCCCAGCCTTAACTCCCAAGATTCTGTTTCACACAGACTGGAACTGCCCTTCACTTTTGTTTTCTCTGCCCTAGTAAGGCTAGTTGTAGATGAGACTCCATGAAAGCGTGAAGAATGAATAACGATATGATGGTATGATATGACAAAGCCAATAGTTACTTGAGTCATATTTACCTATGTTTTTAAGTCAGTGGCTTTCAACAGTTTTTATGCAGGATCCCCAGGAAGAAATCTATTTTACATTGTGACTCAGTACAAACACTTACATACATTAAACGGGAACAAAAAGTGTTATGAAACCATTACCACATGGGAGACATCCTAATTTGTTCTATTCCTTTCCATTCTTTACTCTCTTATGTTTTCCAAAAAGCAGACCCTAAGACAAGAATTCAGACGCAAGTAGTTTGCTTTGGAGGTGATCCCAGGAAACACCAGTAGAGCAGGGAAGTGAGACAGGGAAAATAGGGCAGCCAGTGAAAGGTTTATATTCCAGAGCAGAATGTGTGCCTCATCTCCGCATTATCCTGACCGAGGTGGGGTGGTATGGTGTGTTCGGTGTATGTATATACAACTCCCTCAATTATCTGTTAAGGGCTGTTGGGCCGAGGGAATGTAGGGGGCTAATTTTCTAGTACTTCTGACATGTTAGGATGGCTTGATCAAAGCAGGTTTCAGGGGAAAGCCTCAACCAATGAAATGCAGATGCTGGCTGATGGAGGTGGGCTAGCATGCACAGAAGTGTCAAAGCCAAGGGGTATGAGTGGGACACCAACAGCATCTGCTGCCTACACTATTTCCTGTTTTAAAATGTTTGAGTCTCTATCCACTAAACTGATATCACAATCTACTCAGGGATTGCAACCCACAGCTTGAAGAGCAGTATATTTCCCAAAAAGTGGTCCTTGGGGGCGTTGTACTCCTGGTGGCCTGTGAAATGATTTTAGATGGTACATGAACAAATATTTTTTCATGTTAATCTTCATTTTAAAAATTCAAGCTGCATTAAAGGAAAAGATAAAACCAGCACTGCTGAGATACAGAATTTTTCTTCCTATATAAATATATTGGAGGAAAAATGTCAGTGAATTTAATTGTAAATGTTGAATAAGCGCTACATGGGTATGGGGAAAATGCAAAGGCAGTGCTTGAAAGATGGAGCTCAGGATCCTCTGCGCTAAGGATGCCCCTTGATTGCAGCCCAGTCTTTGCTCCGTGACTCTAACTGTGCTTCTCCCCACTGCAGAGGTTTGGCTATGGAGGCTGGGTGCAGCTCCAACACCACAGCAAGGTGAGTTTCTTCCAAAGCATGAGCATCAGTAGGACTCAGGGACAGCTGAGCCATGGGATACCTCACTGCAGGCTGGGCCTCCAGGGAACCCCACTCTTCTGCCCATGTATTAGCTTTGTTGTAGGCAAGGGAACAGCACTGAGATTTCTCAGAATAATTGGGAAAAATGGAGAAGGCTTCAAAGAGCAGTATTTAGGAAGTAAAATTAGAATTTGAGAGTCCATTAGAAAGTCTGTCGTTCTCTCTCTCTCTCCCCCTCCCCCGCCACCAGTCAATTTTAGCATTTACTGACCTAGTTCAAGGAAGTGACCTAGTGCTCTCTACAGGTTATTATAGTACATTAAGGCTGACCAAAATAAATGGAACAGTTAGGTTTGAGCACAAGCTGGAGAAATTAAACATTGGAGACAAAGGGGAGGAGACAATGTAACTAAGGGTTGAGTTGGTAAAAGGAAAAAGCAAAAAGAAGGCTTGTGGGCAAAGCCTTCTGGAAATGAGGCCTGAAAGTGAGCTGGAAGTCTAGGTCTGCCCAGGGTGTGGTTCTGACTTCATTTTCAGAGGCATCATATACCCTTTCAGGGTTCAGAAGGAACATCCCTGAGCTTCCAGCGGGCACACAGACATGACTAATGCGGGCTCTGGAGGACTCGTGGTCTGAAAATCCAGTTAACGTGCAGGGTTAACCCAATGCAGCCTGGAAAGGTTAGGACTCCCTTTGCACCGGGTGCTAAGGGGCAGAGATTTGGGCACCAAGGATCAGACATGGCCTTCTGGAGGAAGTGATGCCCATCCCACATCTTGAAGCAGGTGGGGAGGTTTGCCCAAGGAATAAGGAAACCATGTTCTAGGAAAAGAAGACAGGGAACAAAGTCATGAAATATTAAATATATGTGAGCCCAGAATTCAAGCACTTAGCTATGGATGGTACCAGCATTTCTCAAACTGTGGTCCCACAATCAGCAGGTTCAGCGTCATCGGGGAACTTGGGAGAAATGCAAATTCTCGGGCCCTACCCCAGTCCTACCAAATCCAAACTCTAGAGGTAGGGGAAGCAACCTGTTTTAACAAGGCTCTTGGTGATTCTGATGAACATTCAAGATTTTTTTTAATTATTAATTTTTTTTTAAGGTCAGGGTCTCGCTTTATTGCTCAGCTGGACTGCAGTGATACAATCACAGTTCACTGCAGCCTCCAATTCCCGGGCTTAAGCAATCTTCCTGTCTCAGCTCCCCAAGTAGCTAAGACTATAGGTGCACACCACCATGCTCAGCTAATTTTTTAATTTTATTTTTTAGACAGGGGTTCTCACTATGTGGCCCAGGGTCCTCCCACTTCAGCCTCCCAAAGTAGCACATTCAAGTTTGAGAACCACTGGTTCTCATACATTCATTCATTCACTGAGTCACTAATTTTTATTGAAACTTGTTTTATGTTAGGCCCACCAATCTAGACACTGGGAATATACTGGTGAACGAGACAGACATAGTCTCTGCTCTGAGGGTGCTCAGATTCCAGGGTTCAAAAGTCAACATGATCAATTCAGCGAATGGAATATAAAGCAGTAATGTGATAGAGAGCAAGAGACTGGCTGGCTGGACAGTGACCTGGCAAAGGCTTTGAGGGTGAGAAGGGAACACCTGGAAAAGCGTTCCTGGCTGGGGGAACAGAAGTTACAAAGGCCAAGGGNGGCTGGACAGTGACCTGGCAAAGGCTTTGAGGGTGAGAAGGGAACACCTGGAAAAGCGTTCCTGGCTGGGGGAACAGAAGTTACAAAGGCCAAGGAACAGAAAGGAGGCCAATGTGGCTGAAATGGAGTGAAAGGGAGACAGTAAGAAACGGGGCTGGCAAGGTAGACAGAGGCCCAGCCACATGGGGACTTGCAGGGCATGCAAAAGAGTCTGGATTATATTTTCAAAACAATGCAAATTCTTCGGAGTGTCTTAGTGGCTTTAAAAGACCACGTTGGTTGCTCTGTGGAGAACAGAGAGAGGCAGGCAAGAGTAGGGAGAGCAAAGCAGAGGCAAGAAGCTGGAGAGGAGGCCAGAAACCTCATCAGACAGGGCCATGAGGGATTTAGGGGTTTAGGCACCAAAACGGACTTAGGGCTTTGAACTTGATCTTGAAGACAGTGGGGAACCACTAAAGAGTTTTAAACATCACTGTCTCTGGGACAGCTCATCCTCACCTTCTTCAATGGGTCCACTAAGTGCCAATTCAAACACTGTGCTTCACTTCTCCCATTCAAAGTGCTTGTTCCTAGCCTGGAAGCTAATGCTCTATGCTGGCCTCAAGTCTCTCTGAGGGAAAGTATATGAATGGTGCTGACGGCAAAGCTGTTAGGAAGCCCCAGCTACAAGGACAGGCAGCTGTGATTTTCTTTTCTTACTCCATGTCCCAGTCTTCAGTTTGTCCCTCAATATAGGATTTGAATGGCCTTCATTTCATTTTGTTTTAATATCAAGAGATTTCATAAACTTAGTAGCCAAATCTCCAAAAGAAAACAAGAAGGAATTTTTTTCCAGTCACATCTACTGACTTACTTATTTCCAGCAAAATTTGATACAATGGTAATCAAATAGGACAAAAGACTGACACACTCCCTCTCTCTCAACAACAAAACAACGCAAACCAAAACAGACCCAGTCTGTATTTTTCATAATTACAGTGGTCAGGGATTCTCAAGTCCATAGAAAATAATATGCAAATGTAAATAACATGCAAATGTATATGATTATGCAAATTAGGCCAAGTACAATGAGAAAATCCAGGATTCTTATTCGCCTATGTTCCTTTAGTGAAGAAATATTTTCTACCCCCAGGATTGACTTATCCTGGAGATTCCTGTTCTCTGAAAGTTCTTTCAAAAACATTTCTCTGGTTTGCTGCATTTCTCTTCTTAACTCTTGGTTTTTCAGTGTTCCCCAAACAGAGAGGTAGTTGTTTGTCATGGTAAAGCCTTGCTCAGAATTGAAAAACATCATTTGTCTTTTGATTGAATATTTATAAAAGTATAAGTAGCAGGTCAGTCCTTGGTTTGTATGACAACCTGCCAGGAGCTGCATGGGCTGGTGACAGAATTGTACCATGATGGCAAGGACACCTGGGAGCATTTTAAAGCCTCCAACTCAGGAGGGCAGACATGAGCCCATTTCAAAGCTGTAGGTCAACAGTATCTAGAAACGCATACTGAGTTCATCCCAGGGCCTTGGAACACACACACACACACACACACACACACACACACATACACACACAGACACGCGCGCGCGCGCATTTATATCACACTTAGCATTTTTACCCACATTATCCTGTCGAACTCCTCACCATTATCAACTATATTTGTGTCTCCCCCAAATTCATATGTCGAAGTACTAACCCCCTTAAAAAATGAAATAGATTGCAAAACAAAATAGCAGAATGCACTGCTTATGGCAAGAGTAAATATTGTTTCATAAAACTTCTGTCTCAGTTTGTATCTGTACAAATAGATATATATGGGTATTCTGAATGACAATGAAAAATAGGTATCTTTTTTATTGTTGTTCTGAGATGGAGTTTCGCTCTTGTTGCCCAGGCTGGAGTGCAGTGGCATGATCGTGGCTCACTGCAACCTCCATCTTCTAGGTTCAAGCAATTCTCCTGTCTCAGCCTCCCAAGTAGCTGGGATTATAGGCATGTGCCATCATGCTCCGCTAATTTTGTATTTTTAGTAAAGACAGGGTTTCACTATGTTGGTCAGGCTGGTCTCTAACTCCTGACCTCAAGTGATCCACCTGCCTTGGCCCCCCAAAGTGCTAGGATTACAGATGTGAGCCAATGCGCCAGGCCAAAAAACAGATTTCTTAATGTGGGGTCACAGCCAAAACTAGCTGAAAGTCACTGATCTAGTCCAATACCCTCAAATGTTTTTATTTTTAAGAGTAATTTATTATTATTATATAAGTAATATTTGAATAAATGCTCCTTTTTAGATTCACGTCATTAGAGATAAAGCTACAATACTCTTGGACCAGCACTCCCTGTTCTCAAAAGTACTTCCTTTTTTAAAAATAATTTCAACTTTTATTTTAGGTTCAGAGGATACATGTGTAGGTTTGTTACCTGGTTATATCAAGTGACGCTGAGGTTTAGGAGTACAATAATCCCGTCACCCAGGTAGTGAGCATAGTAACTACTGGAAATAGTCAGTTTCTCAGGCCTCGTCCTCTCCCTCCTTGTCCCTTCTGGTAGTCCCCAGTGTCTCTTTTTGCCATCTTTATGTCCACGTAAACCCAATGTTTAGCTTCCATTTCTAAGTGAAAACATGCAGTATTTGGTTTTCTGTTCCTGTGTTAATTTGATTAGGATAATTGGCCTCCAGGTGCATCTGTGTTGCCGCAAGGATATATGACTTCATCATTTTTTATGGCTGCATAGTATTCCATGATGTACATGGAATATACATGGAATACTACATTTCCTTATCCAGTTCATTGTTATGAGCACCTAGGTTGATTCCATGTCTTTGATATTGTGAATAGTGCTGTGATGAACATACAGGTGCATGTGTCTTTTTGGTAGAACGATTTATTTTCTTCTGGATATATATCCAGTAATTGGATTGCTAGTTGAATAGCAATTTTAAGTTCTTTGAGAAATGTCCAAATTGCTTTCCACAGTAGCTAAACTAATTTACATTCCCAACAACAGTGTAGAAGCATTCTGTGTGTGTGTGTGTGTGTGTTTGTGTGTGCGTGTGTGTGTGTGTTTTTGTGTGCGTGTGTGTGTGTGTTTGTGTGTGCGTGTGTGTGTGTGTGTGTGTGTGTGTGAAGAAGTCTCACTCTGTCACCCAGGCTGGAGTGCAGTGGCATCATCTTGACTCACTGCAACCTCTTTCTCCTGGGTTCAAGTGATTATCTTGCCTCAGGCTCCTGAGTAGCTAGGACTACAGGCATGCGCCACCATGCCCAGCTAATTTTTGTATTTTTAGTAGAGATGGGGTTTCTCCATGTTGGCCAGGC